GTGACAGTGTGCGTTCAAGGGTTCTAGCAGTTTTTAAGGTGATTTTTTCATACCCATTGTTCATTTATTAGAAACCACATGATCAAAATCATTACTTGTTGGGGTCCTTGCTGGGTGCGATGACAGGTTGTGTAGGTAAAGGCGAATGGCCGCCATCAGCACCCCCTTTTGAAGGTGCTCCGGGGTTCTGGGTCGGGCCACCATTACCATTCGGACCGTTCGGATCACCGCTTGGGGCAGCAGGGTCGCGTGTTCCGCCCGTACCACCGGTCCAGCTCGGGTCTCCACTCGGAGCAGCAGGATCACGAGTTCCGCCCGTACCACCGGTCCACCTCGGGTCTCCACTCGGAGCAGCAGGGTCGCGTGTTCCGCCCGTACCACGGGTCCAGCTCGGGTCGCCACTAGGAGCAGCAGGGTCGCGAGTTCCGCCCGTACCACCTGTCCAGCTCGGGTCGCCACTAGGAGCAGCAGGGTCGCGTGTTCCGCCCGTACCACCGGTCCAGTTCGGAACTCCAGTCGGAGCGCCAGGGTCACGGGTTCCGCTGCTGCCACCATTATTCGTACCCTTGGTGGGCCCGCCGGGGATGCCGTTGGGATCGACAGGTGGTACCACAGCACCCCCAGCCCTGATCTGGCACACGGCAGCCATAAACGCGTGGTTGCACGTGTAGTCGTTCCACTTGCCGACGTAGTCCGAACTGAAAAATTGTTTTCGCCTCGAAAAATGATATTTTGCGTTCGATGATTACGAGGCTTCACTCTCTCTCCCCCCTCACTCTCTCACCCCTCTCTCTCTCTCTCTCTCCCTCTCTCTCTCAAGTTCCATTAAACCTGCCTGCGTTATATGCAACTCTCACTTTCTCACAATCTCGCACTAGGAATTTCGAGCACCCGAGTTATCGTCGGCCCAGAATTACCTACCCATAGTCTTGAAGGGTCTTGAACGGTCGGAGGAACATCTAAAGCCATACCTTAACGCTTTTTTTGATCCCTTACCTCAAGGCATCCCTCATCTCCCTGCTGATTCGGCTCATCCGGCTGCATATTTTTGTAGTCCATCTTTGTCTTGTCGTCCCAATGGAAAGTTTTGTTGTCATTTGCGGTCTAGAGAAAATTTTCCAAGCCGTTTTTCAACTACCCGATGCCCTCCCAGAAGAGCTGTAGGGCGCCAAGTACTTTCCTGCGCCGATGGGACAGCCTTTCGGACCATGTCTGCCAAAAATTAAAAAGGTTTGAAAGTAGGTGCTTACCCAAAATTAGCTGATTCTCCGAGTCCGAGTGGATGGAGGCGAGCGTGGCGCCCATTTCTGCGCATTCCGCTTTGGCGTCTTCGACGCGCATGTCGAGGATGACCTCAAGAGACAAAGGTGTTGGACTATTAGATCACTGTCACGAAGGTATATTAAATCTACAGTGTATCTAGAGCCCACACTAGATAGTTCAGGTTAAATATACCAAGAAACAGCTGCCCGCTTCAATGCCACGCGTCCAATTTGCCGTGCATCCTGTCTAAATTGATGGATCATCTCTGGCTTTATATGTTCAAATTTAATGTAAATACAGAGGACCTTAGAGTATCACAAAACTTTCCCGAACTTTGTATTAAAACCTTAATTACCTTTGGTATCAGCTTCGCTTCAACCCCCAAAGGGATAAGCGCTAGGAGAATAAACCCTAACAAGGGTGGCATTTTCAAAGTGATCGTTTTCGAAAGCGAGGCAACTTTAAAACCCTGGGGCTTAAATAAACATGAACTGATCTTCGGACCCGGTTTTCGGTTATGCGAATATTTATAGAGTTCTGAATTGCATTTCTGAACTGCGACCTCGCCTTCGAGAACTTTTCCTTATAAATCGATTCAAAAACGGTTTATAAGGACGGTGTGTCGCATCAAAATTTGCTTTTTGAAGATATGGAATTAATGGCTTGCTACTTACCCGAGGTGATCCCGTCCCTCTGGATGGGTGCAGAGTGGCGCCCTGCAGCGATTGGAAAGTATCTGGTTTCTCTCACCTACCGTATTTCCGCTAGCGGTAGTGGAACTGTTTCGCGAGCCGTTAGCTCCAGTGCCTCCCTATAATTTTGTTTCGCAGCTATTCTAGAGGCTGAAAGGGTCTTGAAGACGTGTCAGCTATGGCTGCGGTATCGCTTCATGTCATCTAACGCGTTAATTACCGTGCCACCGGTTCCAGGTCGACTTGTATTCGATCCTGAGCCTGTCATGCCGGTGCCGCCGCTCTAAGAAAAGTGATGCGAAGCCTTTTAGGTGAACCGCCGCGTAAGGTATCCTAAGGCTTACAAAGGTATTGCCGCCTGGCCGTCCGGTTACTCCAGAAGAATCAATCGTGAACTAAAAACTTCAAAATCTAGGATATTATTGGACCTACCGAGCCATTGCTTCTCGGATCCGTTGAGCTGCTCGAGTTGAGCTGAAAAACTAGGTATTTGAAGACTTAATGTATCACTGGTTCGAAAGGAGGCAAAAAATATCAAGCGGATAATGAGATCTAAAAAAATACCGCAAATTTACAAAGTGCCAGCGAGAAGTAGCGATTCCCGCAGCCGATGTCGTTCCATTTCCCCACTGACCTAAAATAAAAAAATGTCATCGACCGAAGAAACTAAAAAAATACTCCTTGCCAAAACCCTTTGGGCCATCGAGCGGCTGCAGGTACATCTTAAAAACAGTGCGCAAATTTCACGCAGAAATGGCAATTACCTCGATGCAGTTCTGCTCGCCGTGTGTGTGGATGTTGTCGTCTTCGGCGTTATCCGGTTGCGCCGCATCCCAGTTTGTATAGTCCATCGGGCTGCGGTCGATCCATTGGAAAAGCCTGCCCAAGTCTTTGATCTAAACAAAAAGCTGAAAATTACAAAGGGTGCCCCAAAAAACACCCCTCTAACTTGACGGAGAAGTATCGGATTGGACACCTTTCGAAAGCCTTTAAAACGGCCAGTTTGCAACAGTTTTCAAAACCATGTTTTTATCCAAACATGCCACTCTACAAGCGATTTTGTAAGATTTTCGGGTTTTTCCGGGTTGCATACAAGTCATTTTAAGGTTTTTAAAGGCGTTTTACAATCGCGGGTTGGGGAAAAACATGATTTGGAAGTTTGCGGCAAAATCGTTGTTTCACGGGCTTTCGAATGGTGTAGCTACGATTCGGATCCGATACTTCTTCGTCGAGTTAGAGGGGGTTTTCCTGTAGTCATACTAGGCAGGTTTTTATACAAAACACGCCATTAATAATAACAAACCACCGTAAAAGGCAAGTTAAAATATAAGAAGCAAATATCCAGCTGTAAGTCTATTTTTGCTTTTTTTAATGCAAACCCTCGGAGGTCAGAGAGTTCTTAAAATAACGGAATCAAACCTTGTAGGCGCCGAGGAGTATCGAATATTTCTGGCTGTGATTCGCCATTTTCTCGACCATTGCCTGGATGCTCCAGGCTACAATATCTCATGAATTATCGGATTAAAATTAAGACAAGCTTACAAAGAATTCTCGTATTCTCGGCCTCGGAATGAATTGAGGCCAGGTGGCCGCCCATCGTTTTGCACGTGTTGATCGCGTTCTCCTGGGTGGTGTTACGGATGAACTGAAAATTAACGAAAGATGGTACCAAACACGAACCGAACTATCTTCAAGAAATATTAAAGCAAAAAAGCCGGTTCTTTCGCATTATCGGGGGGAATTGTTTTTTCTTAGGAACCAATTTTTAAAATATAAATAGCTGAAGTATTTCTGAGCTGTTTTTACTACTCCTAAGCGTAAAAACTTTACAAAATTTTAATCAAAAATAAAATATCAATTTTAATGGCCGTTTTCACCAAAATTCGAATTTTTGAAAAAAATTTCCAAGTTTTTAGATATTTTTTTCTAGTTAAAATCTAACTTTATTTTGCTTAAAACATTATTGAGCATTACCTATTAAGGTTATTTGGCTTTTCAAGATAAATACATAGAATGTGTTCCCCCGATAATGCGAAAGAACCAAAAATCTTGGCCTACCGTATAGCAATCCTTTCCGTCCCTCGTCAGCTTGTAACCATCAAACGGACAATCTTGCTAAAAAGTAGCTTCGCTACTAAATTCTACCATAATGACCAAACTCTCAGTAATCTGAGAAACCTACAGCATCAATGAAACCGATCACAAATTGTAGGAACGGTAGGAAAAAGATGGAAAGGACCGTCATAGCTCAGCCGGAGTACGGTAGCTTTCGTGCCGGGTCCGTTGTATAAATACTTGGGGCGCTGGCTATTTGTGATTCAGAAGGGACCGGTAATAGATAGTTTCGTATACGAGAGAGACTGGACTCCAAAAGGGAAATTGAGTAAGACTTTATTTTACCCCCAAAAATTTTTAGGTCCTTTTCTTTGACGGGCTATCTGGTTCTTGCTATAACAATTTGTGTTACTTTATTTTTGGCTGAAGTTAAAACAATTATTATATCGTTTGGCCGCTCTATCGATTTCCTTTCAATGAATTTTATCAAAGCACTGACAATGCCTAAAATTAGACAGAAAAATCAAGACTTTTGAGTTTTGCCTGAAAAGCCATAGGAGCGTAGCGCAAGCGTTTTACCATTAAAGGTACAATCTGGTCCCCCTGTGTCGGTTGCAGGCCTGCAACTAGACACGGGATAGCAAGCAGGGTTACGGTAGGCGCTCGCCGCGGAGCAAAACCGAACCCTGACCCCTCGACTGGGGGCAGCGCCTTAGACCACGAGGCCGAGGGAGAGGCGGCTGAGGGGATGGGGAAGGGGGTTAGGAAGGGTCGGAGGGACCCCGTCCGGACAGCCGGCAGGAACCAGGGGTCGCCTGGAATTTTCAACGGGACTATAGTCTACCTTTAAAGACCGCAATTCTACGAACCATCTTCATTGATGAAAACCCGAGTTGTCCAGATAGCATTGTGCTCTTTTTTCCGCGTTGAATCGAATGTCCAAGACCCCCAAACAATATAAATTTATTCGGAGCTGTCTGAGCGCCCTTATTTGCTGGGATCTTTCGAAGGTGCAGCCGGTGGAGGAGTGGTCCCAACGCTACCGCCGCCACCACCCCCTTTCGACGGGCCATTCACAGGAGTGGTACCGCCGTTCTAAACCCCCTGGTAACTTCTTCCTCCGTGCGATGCCATTTGGGCCCTTATTAAATTACCTACCGCTCCTTGATTCGGGTCTTTTGATGGTGCATTCGGGTCTGGAGTGCCACCGTCGTTCTGAAAGGTGTAAGCCATCTACCAACAATTTCGGCACGGGACCTGGGCTACCTTGTGCAGAATTTTGCGTTAAATCCGGGACTGGCTTGAAAATCTGCAAAACGATCGGATCGAAAAAGTTATGAAGCATTTTAGAGCGGCCACGGCGTAAATTTGCCGATATTGGGACTGTTTTGCACTTCAAAGTTTCATAACTTTTTCAATCCCTTTGTTTTGCAGATTTTGGAACCAGGGTCGAAATCCGTGAAAAATGATGTACAAGATAGCTAGGACAGGTACCGAAACTTGAGTGTCACTAAGACTTGCATGCACTAGGTCCCAAAATTCTCCAACATGTTTGCCGTAAAAACAATTGTAATTGTAAAAAATTGTAAATTTTGCCGTAACTCTTTGTAACGCTAGTCTGGTCTGCAGTAGCGCGCTTTAAGCTGGCCTATCACTTATATATAAATTGCTAATGTCCGTGCGCCCGACCGTCCGTCCGTACGGATCGCTGCGGGACCCCCAGGACCGGTTCGGACGGGTCCGGGAGCCGGGGCGTTTCGGGATTTCGGGATTTCGGTGTATGGGATGTTGATTTATTACTATTTATTATTACTTTTTCCCCCCGGGAGGGCCAGCGCTGAACCCCCGCGGAGCGGGGGGTCAGCGCTGGTGCATTTTTAAAGGGGCTCCGACTGCCAAATCAAAGCCCTTTTGGGAGGGCTCTTTGATTTCTGGCAAATTGCCAGCGGGCGTTTGGGGACGAGAGCCCTCACTCTTTCGATTTTTACGCGAAGTTGTTTTTGCCCGGTTTCTTTGTGAAAACACTATAATTCGCAAGATCTGAGCTCATTTCTGAAATCCTCATTCAATTTTAAATAGCGTTGGTGTTTTAATCATCAAATTTGGCCCAGAAACAGCCGAGAACGTGATTTCGAGGTGACAACAGGCCATTTCAAATTTGCGAGCTTCCCGCGCCTCTAGGTGTACACGGGTCTCCCACGTACAGGGCTCCGATTTTCGGGCCGTCACTCAATTTTTGGCAGTTCGTAGCCCCTTTAAAGTATACGTCTTTCCGGTTTATGCTGATGTGTTTCTGGAAGCATCTGTAATCTTCCGTACTGTAGCCCTCCGTTGGTCGAAGTGGAATTTCGGACGTGACATAGCACCTCTTGTTCCGAATTTTTCGCTGCTTACGAATCCAAATCAAATCCAAAAAATTATTCTGCACAAGATTTGCTATGTCACTGACCAAAATTCTATTTCAACCTTGAGTGGCTGATCGTTACTCTAACACCCACGCTTGCAGGTTTCTGGCAAACCACTATTTCCGGAACGTAGCACCGGTTGTCGTTCCAACGGTCCTCAGGCCACATCTAGAAACGTTTTGAAGGTTTCGATAGCTTTAGAATTTTTGAACTGTTCCCCAGTCCTTAGAAAAAAAGACGCTCTTACGTCAAAACAATTCTCCAGATTCAATGTGTTGTCCATGTACTCGTCGTTGAAACGTTTGTAATCCATCTCGGACCCATCGGTCCATTTGAAGTCATATTTCCCGCTGCCGAACTGTGATAAGAAGCGAATCGTTTTAAAGTAGCCAAGAAATCAGAATGAGCATATCAGCCCGAACAAATGAAAAGAGCATTTTTTTTATTCAATAAAGAAGGATGAATCAAAATCCATGGCAGCACATAGGATAACGGGGGAAGCCAAATTTTTGTGATTTTCTGTATTTCCAAAACGCCAATCGAGAGAACGTGAAAAAATATACTAAGATAATGATTTTCAGCACGAAAAATGTAATATAAAGCTTTATAGCATAAAAACTTTGGTTGAAAGCTATGGGCAGCACCGAGGAAACTTTTGCGATGTTTTGAAAATTTTCGATATTTTCGAAAACCCATTCGATAGAGGGCTGAAAATTTTGTTAAGAGCTTTTTTTATCCCGAAAAACCATATTTGAACTATTTTTGTTATAAAAATATTGAGTGCCCCTCCACCGTTTATCCTCGGTGTACCGAGCACTCTGCTTGCGCTTTCCGTCCTTTTAACGCGAGGAATGCTCTTTTTCACTCACCCGTGTCGCCCCGAGTCGCACATGTTCGCCGTCACGGGTAAATGCTATAATGTTCATTGGAATTTTCACCGATTTAGCTGGCGCTATTCGTGCAACGAACGGACGGCACACGAATGTGCAAGGGCCCACCGTAAACAGCCGCATTTTCCGCTTCCGAATGAATGGCGGGTAATCCGGCCCCAAGTGCATCGCACGCAGCCTTCGATGCATCGTATTCCATTAGGCCCGGAAGGCTCTATAAAAATTGTTGTTGTTGTCGTCCCCTATTGCGCGCCCCCCATGACCGTATCCCGGCTGTCCCGCAACGCCCGCCCTGTCGCAAGAGTCCCCGCTCTCTGGGATTTCGCCCACGATTAGTACAGGGTGCGGAGAAAGTTTTCGGCGGGGCAAATTTTCACCTTTTGTATACACAGGGTAAGAGTTTACCTTACCCCCCCCCCACAGCCGAAGGGCCTCAAAGTTGTCGGTATTTCTGCTTATTTTGTCGGGATTGTCGCAACGCCATTCGATAGAGCGTCGAAAAAAACAAAGTTTAATTGAGCCTACAAAATGTAAAATAAAAAAGTTATAGCGAAAACCGTTCGGCTGGGGGGGGTAAAGTAAACCGTAGCCTAATGTTTTTCAGAGAATTCTGAACAGTTTCTTTTTGGACTTTGCATCGATTTGCATCCATTTCCGGTTGCGAATCCCTAATTTCGCAAGAACGAGTAATTTGCGTTGTAAAAATCGCTAAATCGAAGCATTTAATAATTTTACTCTGGAAAAAATTCTTAAGGTAAAGAAGGCCTACCGGATCATTTTCACTTAATGTCTAGGGGTCTAATTCCACGAAAACCCTGTGAAAAATGGAAAATAAGGTTCGTTTTTGCCATAACTCGAGAACGACTGTAGCTACGGGGCTAAAAGTCAGGATTGTTGTTATCTAGGGTCTGATACACCTCTGGCCCAAATTTGGGGCCGATTGGATTTAACACGGCAAAATGCCAGGTGGTTCGTGTTTTTTGGATACCCTGTAGGCTTAAAACCTCAACTCCGCGCCTTCCGTTTGCCAAATAAACTTTTATCGTGTCTTTGATACGTTGCACTTCCAGCTCAAGCCGTACTGGATGTCCCAACTCCCCACCCCCCCTGGCGGTCAGCACTGATGTCCGAATTTTATGATCTAGGTAGCTATCGAAACCTCTCTGCAAGCTGAGGAGCTATGTTTATCGGATTTTGAAATCCTGGAATTTTTCGCTCTATTTTCGGCAATTTTATGCCAAAGTTTCACTATTTTTTTACAAAATAGCTCATATTAATCAGGTTCAACGCCATCCTAACTGTGTTTTCTCAAAAGGTCATCAAAATACTGTCGTAGGGCAGTCGCAAAGGCTTGAAAATTGCTAAATTGTGATTTTGTAAATATACCCTCCGTCCGGGGCAGCGTCCGAAATTTGGTAGTTTTCACAAAAATCTTAGTAATTCTAACAAAAATTTGAGGAATTTCGAAATTCCGGAAAGAAACATATCTCCTCAGTTTGTCGCGAGAGCTTTCGATACGTGCCTAAATCGTAAAAATCGGCCAACACCGCGGACCGTTTGCACTGCAGTCGGGCCAGTCGGGCCAAAAAGAACGGGTCGAACCGCCGACTTTTTCGGTGAAACCTTACAACAAAAAACCACTTCACGGTGTAGGACCATAAAAAAAGGACCATCTATAAAAATATCTACAAACCTTGTAGCATTTCTCCGTGCCCTTGCCCAACGTCCACCCATCTTCGCAACTCAGCTAAGCGCTCAAGGCCGTTTGCAAATTTTGAAAGCCATTCCAAACCTCGGCAGATACGGTAACCCCGACGGCAAAGAGCAAGAGAATGTTTTTGACCATGTTTGAATCAAGTACGGGCACCTGGCCCTAAATCTCGGCGTTTGCCTTCTTTGACTTTCATGGGTTTGTCTTGTTCAAATTTATGCGGTGCGGTGCGACCGAAGTTCGCTAGAACGCCCACTTCTTTCAGGCTTTGACGCCTTTAAAGGGATACCTAATGTTTTGCCGGTATTCCGGGCAGTACAAATGACGCGCGAATTTTGTGCGCCAAGGGGCCCATTGCCGCACAGAAATTTGACACCTTTCCCTCTTGTGGAGTGCCCCATCCCACTCCATGGCTTGCCACTATGGCCTAATGGATAGTATCCAGGCCTAAAAAGCCGGGGGCCCGGGTTCGACCCCCGCCTGCAACGGGGGTTTTTGCTTTTCGAGCTCCGAAAAGGTTGGGCGTCCCTTTAAACGCGCCCATTACAACTACTGTGGTTTGAAACACAATCGCGATTTTTTGCGAATGGGTAAAACCAAGCGAGCTAAACTGCACTGTTTGCTTCCGCGAAAATTCTATTTTGATTCTTTGTAGTAGGCCGATCGGGTAGGCGTACCTTTCTTACTACAGTGGCGCAGTTAATTCTGTTCAAGGTGACGTCACAATTGGTTTAGTAAAGTTTTATATACGCTCTTATTTGCTGGGATCCTTCGAGGGTGCAACCGGCACAGGAGTCGTTCCAGCACCACCGCCACCACCACCCCCTTCGACGGGCCATTCACAGGAGTGGTACCACCGTTCTAAACATTTACTATCAGTAACCAGTTCGATGGCATTCTATTTCGCTATGAATCCGTAACATATGTTACGTTCTTTATAGGATGGCGGAGCGGGGTCCACGTTTTGGGGGGGTGTGGGGTTTTGGGGTTTTGGGGGGTTTTTTTTTTGGTCTCTTTCTCTGCTTTTGTTATCAAAAAAGGGGGCGAAGAGGGGGGGGGGGGGGGGGGGGGGGGGAAAATTTTTTTTTTTTGGGGGGGGGGGGGGGGGGGGGGGGGGGGGGGGGGGGGGGGTGGGGGGGGTGGGGGGGGGGGGGGGGGGGGGGGGGTGTCTGCTCAAACAGATTCCGTACCGGCCCAGCATTTGGGTCTTTCGATGGCGCATTCGGGTCGGGAGTGCCGCCGCTCTAGAAATCTCGCTATATTTTGGACTCAAGGTCGTACGATCCTTTGAGTTTGGCTTTTCAACTGTCTTCGAATAATTTAATTCTGTTGTTCTAACCGAATGGCCTTACCACTTGTCCTGAATTCGGATCTTGCGACGGCGCAAGCGGGTCCAAGGTCGCGCCGGTCTAAAAATCAATGGAGATTTCGGTCTAATGTTTTGTGAATTTGACATTAAGCATTTTTTTAATTGTTTGGGTAAGGCATTGATTAACACCGAGCCCTTACCCCCTGTCCGGGATTCGTGCCCTTCGATGGTCCAACCGGGCCCGAAGTAGCACCAGTCTGAAACGTGGCTTGATTTTGCAAAACTGCATTTACAATTATTGGTTTCATCGATCCAAATAGCTAAAAGAACGATGGCTAGAATCTAAGTAAACAAGGACGAAAACTGACCACTCCGTTATTCGGTCCCTGCTTCGGCGGCGTGATCTGAAATGATGGTTCTGGATCGACCGCGACAAAGAAATTGTCATCAACGTCCGAAGAGATAGATTTACCGTCAACTTGCATAGCGCTAATGCATAGCGGTCGGGCTGACAAACATGCTGTTCCCATTGCCCGACTAGCGGCCTTGAAGTTCGAGATTGAATGCTGCCACTAGTTTGCCAAATCTTACTTTTCCTCCTTGTCATCTTGTCTTGACAGGCGCAACTAAAAGGAATGTTTGTATGGTATTCGAGAATGATCTTACATGTATGCAATTCTCTTGCCCGGGCACCGGGTCGTGGTTTACATTTCGAGCATCCTTGTCGTAGTTGTTGGGCTCAAGGTCCATCCAATTCGTGTAGTCAACTGACGTGCCATCATCCCAGGTCAACTCCTCTTCCATGCCTTTGGTCTGGATATAAAAGGGTGATAAACTGCAAAAAAAACCCGACATAACTATTTTTTTTTGCATACTTTTCCGTGCTCTATCGAATCGCACTCAAGAAATTTTGAACAAAATAGCGAAAATTGCGAAAACTTGCATTCATTCTACGCCCTCTTCTATAACCGTTTTTGTCATAACTATTTTACGTTTTATGATTTTCAACTAAATTAAAACTATTACTATCTTTTTGAATGCTCTATCAAAAAATGTGATTTATAATGTTGAAAAATAGAGAACGAGAATGCCGAAAATCAGCCGCTCAACCCCATTTAAAAAATTATTTTTGTTTTTCCATAAATTTCTTATATTACTAAAACAAAAACACTTGGTATATTTCTCGATGTTCTATGGAACGGCCTTAAAGAAAATCCTGAGAAAATAACGAAAGATCGAAAAAGGCCAAGCCCACCCTCGTCGCGCCCAACCAAGCTGACCCCGCCCGCTTGTCTAATGCCCCTAAAAGACTAAGAATGTTTCTCCAGAAACAGGAAAACCAACCGAGCACGGCGTTGCTTTCCGCCTCCGAATGAAGGATTGGTAAGCGGCCAGATTTGTCCTTGCAAATTTTGTCGGCTTCCGCATAGGCCATCGGTTTCGGCTCCTGCGCCACCGCCGGTTCAGCAGGAAACGTCGACTTAAACAAATCTTTTGATGGCCAAGAATGTCTCTACCGTGTAGCACTTATTAGTGCCCTCGCCAGCTTTCCAGTCTCCGCTACATGGCTGAAACGGATGGATGGGTCAATGGATCCGAAATCGGCTTCAGAATTTGCAAATTTTAGCATGTTAGCTACCATTTGTGATTTACTGTCACCATTCTGTGGTACCCGTGGAATTTCCATACCTGGAGTAGCACATCTTGCAGGATTTTTTGCTGATTCCAAATACGATTTCAGAAGTTGCCCAACCCTCTGGTTAAAAAAACAGGTGTTTTAGCACACAAAAAGCCAAAAATTCTTATTTTAAGTCAATCTAAGAATCGTGTGAAATACGTTTGGAGGGAAAATAGGGACCCTCCTGGCGTGAAAACCGACTTTTTAAAGAGAGCAGTTTCGCAACTTTTGAAATCGGATTTGGAATCAGCGAAAAATTCCGCACAAGGTGCGAATCCCGCGTTCACGAAAAAACTGTTTCAGTTGGTATCAAATGAAAACTGTCACGGTGGCTTCGTCAAGATTTTCTCAAATTATGAGGAACGGATTTGGTGCGCTTTTGCCAGATACGTCCGTAGACATGGTAGATGACGCTGACCTTGTCCTTTTCGCAAACCGCATGTGTTTCCCACTTGCAGCTCAAGTCCTGCCATTTGCCAGTCCAGTTACCATCCATATGGCCCTTTGTATATACCTAAAAGATGCTTTGGTTTTGTGTGGGCTTGGACCAGAAAATCGGTAACACGACATTTGCGGCCGACACTCGCCGCCCGACACTCGCCGCCCGACGCTCGCCGCCCGACAGATGCCCGACATGGTGGCCGCACCTTTGTGGCCCGAAATTTAACAAAAGCGGCCCTGAGGATACGTTTCGTGCCACCAGCGGGGGTCGCTTCGGATGGGTGCGAGCTGCGGATAGATTGCAAAATCGGTGCTCGTTGCAAATGCTCTAGACCGGGCCAAATATTTGAATCACCTCATTTCAATAAAAAAATAGATTGGGCCGCTGCCGCGGCCGCCTAGGCTTGTTTTTTTTTACTGGAACAGCGTCTACTGTCCAACGGCTTTGATGGACCGACACAGAAGCGCACCTGAAGGCAGAACCCGTTTCGGTCCTGGTTATCCATTAATTCGTGCGCCCAATTAGTATAGTTCATCGTCGATCCATCCGTCCAGGCGTAATTGTAAGTGGCCGTTTGTATCTGAAAATCGAACACTGGACCAGCAGCCCGTAGAAAAACGCACGCTGGAGGCTCCGAGCAGCGTCGTATACCTTTGGGTCAGATCCAAACCTTTCCAGGCCTTCAACTCCTCGACACTCCAATCTTTGAGTGCCTTTGAATTTTGGTCTCTAAACGGAGCCACCTAGTATCTTTTTGTTCATGTCAGCCGAATGAACGGATCCGAGGAGTCCGCCAAGTTTTGAGCATTGCGCCTTGGCATCGGCGTGTGTCACGTTCCAGAGCAGCTGAAAATGGGCTATGGCACTATAGAACCAAAACTATAGGACTACAGGGACATCCGATAAGAGCACCCCCTCCAAACTCAACGCAGAAGTATCGGATTTGAACAAAAGTTACACCATTCGAAAACTCTTGTGAGGCCGATCCGATATGCGTCAAATTCGAGGGGGTGTTTTTCATTGAGACACCCTTTAGTACGGGTAGAAGCTGTGCCTCTAACGCTATTCTACCTCACCCGAGATTACATCTTACCGTATAACAATCTCCACCATCATCCAATGCACGTCCCGTCTTGCAGGTACCCTAATATTCTTTATTGTACATTGGCATCTGTCTAAAACTAATGACTAAGTATACCTACCGCCACTAGTGAGCCGCCTATAGCAAGTATGGAAAGAAGAAGCCGGGCTGGAACGGCCATCTCTTGAATTCCAGGGAAAAACCCCCGCGGTCGTGTTTTATACGAGAACCAGGGCTGGGCATAATTTTTCATTTCAAAACGCTTACCGGGCATCTGAGAATGCGCAAAAGGCAGTTTGACGCAGGTTTTCGATGCCAGATCAACGATCCTTTTCGAATGTTCGATCATGTTCGATCTTTGATTATGTTTGTTCATGACTTTTTTCAGGAAGTGTTAGCGTACCGTTACGATGTATTCCGGATGCTAGTAATTCTGGCAGTGAGATATTGACACTTTAATCCCCTAATCGGGCACTAATCAACTTTTAAAACGATTGTTGTTTGTAGGCAGGCTCCACAAGCAACCGGGTTTCTGGTTGATTGATTGATTGGTTTGATTATTCCACAGAAAAAAATCGATTCAGGGCTGTAGGGTCACTATGCAAAAGTCCTAAACACTGAGTGTTTTCTCAACGAGACGTTTTTGAGTGTCGAGATGGACCAGGCCTATCTGCGAGACGAGATGTGCTGGCGACGATTTCAGCCAGAAAAACGAATTTATTCATTGGTTATTGTTGTGGTTGGCAGCATTTCTGTTACTTGCTGGGATCCTTCGAGGGTGCAACCGGCACAGGAGTCGTTCCAGCACTACCGCCACCACCGCCCCCCTTCGACGGGGCATTCACAGGAGTGGTACCGCCGTTCTAAACATTTACAATCGGTAACTTCAGTTCGATGGAATTCTATTGAACTATGAATCCGATAACAGTAACATTGTTTCTCAAACAGGTTCCGTACCGGCCCAGCATTCGGGTCTTTCGATGGCGCATTCGGGTCGGGAGTGCCGCCGCTCTAGAAATCACGCCGTATTTTGACTACGATCTTTTGACTTTGGCTTTTCAACTGTCTTCGAATAATTTAATTCTGTTGTTCTAACCGGATGCCCTTACCGCCTGTCCTGAATTTGGATCTTTCGATGGCGCATTCGGGTCGGCAGTGCCGCCGCTCTAGAAGTCAGGCTGTATTTTGGACTCAAGGTCGTAAGATCTTCCGCGTTTGCTTTTTACAGTTACTCCAATAGCTTTAATTCAGGTTTTTGGCCGCGAGCGCTTACCACCTGTCCTGAATTTGGATCTTGCGACGGCGCAAGCGGATCCACGGTGGCGCCGGTCTAAAAATCGATGGGTATTTCGGTCTAATGTTTTGCGAATTTGACATTAGGCAAATTTTCTAATTGTTTGGGCAAGGCATATAACACTGAGCCCTTACCACCTGGCCGGGATTCGTGCCCTTCGATGGACCAACCGGGCCGGAAGTGGCGCCAGTCTGCAACGAGGCTAGCTTTTTGCAGGATCTTTTGTTTAGATGTTTCATTTCATAGAGAAACGCTAACAATAGTCGTATATCGACCATGGGAAGGCGAAGTGGCTCAAATTTTTGCGTGACGTTAGCAATTTTGTTTTTACGGTTGGTTCGAATGCTGTCGTGACTGCTCCGATTTAAGAGCGAAACTTACCTGCCGTCCGCTCGGGTCGCTTGAGGGACCGCTTGGATTGGAAGTGGGGCCAGTCTAGAACGTTGTCATAAGGCTTTTCCCAAATTTTTCAGAATTCTAATCCAAATACTACAGGTAGAATGTTATATGAAACCGAAAACCCACAACTCCGTCATTCGGTCCCTTCGACGGGCCCGTCACCTGAAAAATGACATTGGACTGGCTACTACAAAACATCGACATCAACGCCCGAGCAAAAAAGCACTGACCGGAAACTTGCATAGCGCCAAATCAAAGGCGGGGTAGATATTGCAACCCCACTGTTCCCACTTCCCTGCGCGAGGACTTAAAAGGCCAATGATTCAATTTTGTCATTTCTATCATGCCGAGAAATCAACAATTTCCAAAATCATTACTCGCTGGTGTTTTCAATCGGCGTTGGCAGGTACAGCTAAAGATATGTAACATCCTTGCCAGTGTTGCTACCTCGATGCAGTTTTCTTGGCCGGGCTTCGGATCATTGTCCCAATCATAGTTGTTTGGCTCGAGGTTCAACCAATTCGTATAGTCAACCGGTGTACCATCATCCCACGTAAACTCAGTTTCCATGCCTTTGTCCTTAAATCAAAAACTAACTTATCCCTGACGAGTGGAAATCGCCGCTTCGCGGCCCTTTTCCGCGGGACCTCGTCTAGGAAACATAATTTTAAAGACCACCGGAACGCTGTAATTCCGTTGAGGGCAGCCGCCCTTGAAATGCGCAAATGTCATATCAGGCTCGGTTACATAACAAAATTATAAACCTGTAAGTCAATCGGGGCCTCGAGTTAGGCTTGTAGCCCGCCTCGCTAAGAATTTTCTCACTATTTTGCTTGTAAAATCGTTAACTGAAGGACTTTCGCAAAACCAAAAAATATATTTTTGGCCAATGCGTTTTTCCACGTCCATATGCCAAAAAACAGCTCCTTCGGGTTGACGATCGAGAAAAGGGGCCGTACGGAAAAATCCCTTCCTCGCCTATAGGGTCGGATAAGCGCCAAATTGCAAGGGAGACAAGAACACAAAGTCACTCCTACCCTCGTTGCGGCGAGCCATATTTCTTCCACGCGCTTATTCACCGAGGCTAAAAAAAGAGCATTCCAGTGCAAGCGATATGCAAACCAAGCACGGCGTTCGTCTCAGCCTCGGAATGAATGGTTGCCACGAGCCCGTTTGCGTCCTTACAATATTCATCAGCTTCCGCATAGGTCAGATCCGTTTGGTACTGCGTTTCCGCCTCAGCGGGCCATTTGGCCTCAAGTGACACGCTCTGTATGTAAGAAACCGCGCATACCAAGTAGCATTTTTCCGTACCGGCGCCCGCTCTCCAGGATCGCCCGGGCTCCTCGCTGCAAGGCTGAAAACGATGGGTATGGCCACAAAAAGCGCGCTGGAGAATTTCTAAGAACGCTTTAGCTCCACCCTCATTTAATGAGAACGCTCTTAAACGGGGAAAAATTTTAAAAATTTAGATCGAAAAATTGAGTTCCGTTGCGGGAGGGCGCGCGTCAACTTGAATTCTACTTTGTCAGCTCTAACATTGCGTTATCGGCTGTTACTTGGCCAAATTAGATTGCTAAGAGTATTATTTTTTTCATAAATGTTTAAAGGGGCACCGAACTGCCAAATCAAAGCCCTGTGGGTTGATTTCTAGTTATTAACTACCAGGGGGCGCTGCGCGACGAGAGCCCTCCCATCGGTTTTTGTTGTAAAAACATTATAATTTGCGGATTATAAGCTGATTTCTGAGATCCTTACCAATTTTAAATCGTTTAGGTCTTTTAAAGCGCACGTTAAGAGGGGGGGGGATATTTTTTCCAAGGAAAAAACCCCGGGGGGGGGGGGGGGCGCGCGGCGCGCGCCCCCGGGGGGGGGGGGGGCCCCCCCCCTTGGGGGGGGGGGGGGCCCCCCCCCGGGGGGGGGGGGGGGGGGGGGGGGGGGGGGGGGGGGCGGGGGGGGGGGGGGGGGCGGGGGGCGGGGGGGGGAACGGCCGCCGCGGTCTCCTCATCAAGAACCCGCCCTTTAATCACTAAATTTTGCCCAGAAACAGCCGAGAACGTGGTTTGGAGGTGGCAACAGGGAATTTCAAATTGCCGAGCTTCCCGCGCCCCTGGGCGTACAAAGGCCTTCTACCTACAGGGCTCCGGTTTTCGGGCCGTAACTCAATTTGTGGCATTGCGTTTAAGATTGTATGAGGATTTTTTTAAATTAGCGCAGTGGCTGAGAACTATAGCGTTTTAACAAAGCGATCGGGGCAAAAATTGTTTCGTGGAGAAGCGACCCGTTTTCGTCCCACAGCAAAATTTTGCCAGAAATCAAAGAACCCGCAAGGCCTACCTTGGGTTTTTCGCAAACCACATGGGCATACTCCTTACACTTTAGATCCTGCCATTTTCCGGCCCAGTGGCTGCCGTTGTGGGTCGCTGTATACATCTAAAAGATTGTTGTAGTGCGAAAGAATTGATTCGACGAAGTCGTAAGGCCCGTAAGCTCTATGTAAATCTATATTTGTATCGTAGCGTCACGTTTTTTAACGTGGCGCATGACGCTCTTTACCTGTGGTAATTATTCCAGATTGGCCCCCTTTCTCGTGATACCTTGTGATGATTACAAACCTCAAGGCAGAACTCGGTGCGGTTCATATTATCCAAATACTCATGTAGCCAATTCGTATAGTCCATTGGCGACCCATCAATCCAGCGGAAATTGTAGGTGGTCGTTTGTATCTATTTAACAAAGGTAGGCAATGATACTCAATAAACGTACGCTGGAGGCGCCGAGCAGCGTCGTATATCTTTCACTTGCGTTCCTGTCTTTCCAGGTGCTGACCACCTCGACGCCCCAGTCTGCAATGGGCCGTGAACGGATTATTATGTTCTTAGGTTTATTCGGTTCACACAGACTGCGTATTCGATTCGGTACCTAGCCGACGTTGTCGAGAATTTTTTTGATGATTCCGATACTGGTTTTCAAATTTGCGCACGTGATCGACGTCAAAAGGTACAGCGATTTTTGTCGCAAGCAGGCCCGAAATGATGGACTTAAATCCCTTACAAAATGTTCTAGAATACTTTCCGGAAAAATAAAGCAGATTTGGCGTAAAAAACGCGCTCTTTCGAATGGATGCCAGGGCAAAAGCGGCTGGAATCGCAAAGTCGAAAACATGAGTTGAATGACGAAAATTTTGAGCTACAGGTCCGTGAGGTAGCTAATTTGAAAAAGCCTATTTTTCTACCACGTGTTTGCTTCATTTTCATCCCGAAAGTATTCTACAACAATTTAAGAGGAATTGGAAGCCGACCATTTCAGACCAGTTTGTGTCGAAAAGCGCTGTAACTTTCGAAATCGGCCTCTTGCGCATATTTGGAAACAGATTCGGAATTAGCAAAAATTCTCGACAAAACATTCTATGTTGACAATCGTATTCCCAGTCTATGTAACATTTACGGTCGGTCACCTTGTATCTTCTTGTTCATGGCTTCCGAATGAACGGACGCGAGGTGTCCACCGAGCTTTGCGCATTGCGCTTTGGCATCAGCGTGCGTAATTTTAGTAAACATCTGAAAAATGAATTCTATAATAAATGTCCTCTCAAAACTGCTTTACTGCTATTAAACCTTGGCTACCTAACCCAAACAACCCCTTACGGTATATCAGGTTGGAACGAAAGCTCTGTCGCCGAGATTTTTGAAGGCTGGCTAAATTCGTAGATAGCTCGATTCTGGACATTTGATGTGTCATTTTGTAGCTCTCGGCTTGAACGGTTCCGGGAGGTGGTTCCTGGGCCCTTAAAATCAAGAACGGCCGAGATACAGGCCCATAAAATTTTTTCAAAAATTACGCAAAAGTGTTTGTGCAGGTTATCTCTGCATAGAGCATTTTACATACGATGCCATTAACGCCGATCGATAGCTTTGGAGGAGTAGATACCGATACGACATTTTGAGAGAGAGATTACTTGAGAAATCATCAAAATTTGGCATGGATTTATGCTTTATGGGACAATGATGGCCGAGATATTTCCCATAAATTTCCAAGCATTTGACGGACAGGACAGATGAAATGAAAAATGATATTTTTGGACTAGCCCGCGGATTTGGAAAAAATGTATGGGAAATCCGGAAAAGTTCTAAGAAATGGGCCAAATTTCAAACGGGGCACTTCTCGATTTCTCGACACTTTCAATTGTCCAATTTTGACGATCTCCCAAGATCATCTCAACATCTATCAGTATCTACTCCTCGAGAGCTATCGATCGGCGTTAATGGTATCGCATGCAAATTGCTCTATGCAGAGATACCTTACAAAAACATTTTTGAAAAGAACTTTATGGGCCTGTATCCCGGCCGTTCTTGATTTTGAAGGCCCAGGAACCTCCTCCCGGAACCGTTCAAGCCGAGAGCTACAAAATGACATATCGCATGTCCAGAATGGAGCTATCTACGAATTCAGCCAGCCTACAAAAATCTCGACGACAGAACTTTCGTTCCAACCTGATAACAATCGACTCCGCCATCATCTAGTGAGCGTCCCGTCGGGCAAGCACCCTAACGAGTATTTCAATATAATTTAATTTTTGGCTATAACTACCGCCACGAGAGAGACGCCTATAGCAAGAATGGAAAGAAGAAGCCGAGTGGGATCGGTCATCTCTTGAATCAAATGCAAAAGCTTTGGCTTTATACCGGACCAAAGTCTCAGCACAACATTGACTTCCAAAGTGGGTTCGGCAGTTGCTGAAGTCGAGGATGTACATAAAATCTTGCTCCTTTTTTATGCAATATTAATGATCGGACCAAGGACCAAAGCGATAAGCGAATACACTTGTGTATCTTATATAAACCTGTGTAGGTTGTATGACTTTCATGGTTGTAGTAAATTTGGAACGTCATAATGCTAGAACCATGAGTCTCTCTTTCGCTGTTTTTTTTGCGCGAGGGGTATGGTAAGGTTGTTTTTCTTTAAAAAGGGGAAATTGTTCGAATTCACTGAACCCCGATGTTCACGCAGATGTACCCAGCGAAAGAGATACCAGGAATCCGACAGACGCAGGGGTGAAAAAAACGGGAAACCGCTAAATCAACGCGCGCTGCGTGTCGCGACCGGCAACATCCGTAGGGAATCCATAGTTGAGAAATCTATACATCGTCATGCTTTGCCCATCCCTTTAAAGGTGTTTTACGTGCAGTAATGTCGGCGCGGTTGCCAGTAAGACATGACTTTATTCGTCGGAGTTGACGGCCTTCCCTATTTTCTGGGATCTTTCGATGGTCCACCAGGCGTTGTGGTAGTCCCACTGACAGGACCGCCTTTTGACGGACCGACCGGGGGCGCGGTAGCGCCGTCCTAAAAATTTATTTTTAACGAGCTTCCTCGGAATGGTTTTTGGCTAATTACGATAAACGTCAATATAGGGCGTGCAACCGCTGAAACGTACCGGAACCTTGCACAGCGCCAAATCAAACGTGCGCCCCGCGCATCCAAGCTGATTCCATTGGCCGACGTAACCTCTAGAAACATGCAAATTTTCAGCGCTTTGATCATTGAAAGGCCAGGCTCGACATACGACCCATCGATCCAGGTCTGAAAAACCTACTTTCCTTCCTTCTCCTTGAATTCTTGTAGGTACATCTAAACCACACTTGGGCCTTTTGGGATTTTGCTACCTCGATGCAATTCTCCTGCTTAGGTTTCGGGTTAGCTCCCTCGTAATCGTTCGGCTCGAGGTCGACCCAGTTGGTATAATCCACCGGGGTTCGGTCATCCCAGCTGAACTCTTTCTCCATGCCCTTCTCCTGTAACGGTATGTTCGAAATTATATTCACGTTTGTGTTTTTGTATCTATTCCTGCCAGCTAGGTAACCGGAAACAACTAACGAACTCTAAGTACCAAACACTGACCCTTTTCGCATTCAGCCAAATGGACTCCTCGGTACCGTTCCACACCGCTGAACATTTTTGGGGGATAAAAATACAATTTCTTTCTGACCTATCACGTCCTTGTTCTGATCCTTGTTACGGACTATGGGTAGGGTGGCAGACTTTGCCTTGCAGTACTTATCGGCCTCCGCGAAGGGCACGTCCTTATTTACTGCCTAAATTTGAATTCTGGGTAGTGAAGTAGTCAGACCAGATAGCAGAGATTTTTTGTAGATCCGGCTTTCCAACCGGTAGCACATGGCTGAAACGGCACCTTGTAAAAACATTCTGACGATTAAGGGAGAGATTCGGAAACTAAGCAAGGTGTAACCAAGTTAAAGCGCGCGATGCTTGATGCTTTTCAAAGAATTTAGGCAAACTCACCCCCGATTTCTCACAGACAATCCGAGCGTTTTCCCCGCAAGGAAGGTCATTCCATGTGCCCGACGCCGTTAGCTAAACGCAAAAGGGATCAGAGAAGAATTGAAACATCCGGAATCTCACTATATACATGGTGTATAATAAAAATAGTAATCAATCAATAAAAACCCTTCTGACTTGACGGAGAAGTATCCGATCGGAACGGTAGTGACACCATTTGAAAGCCCTTGAAACCGAGGGTTTGCAACCATCTTCAAAACCAGGTGTTTGTCAATGCCATCTTACAAGCCAATTTTAAGATTTTCCGGTTTTTCCGCGTGGCATTCGAGCTAAATTGGCCCAAGCTTCACAAGTAAAATGATCGGAAGTTGCCGTTATTAAATGCATAGGTTGTTGCATTAATTTCAAGATTGTTGTCGACTCGCCGTTTCAAGGGTTTTCGAATGGCGTAGCTAGCAGCCCGATCCTAGCCTTCCCCGTCAAGTGAGAGGGGTTTTTTTTTATTGAGGCATTCTGTAATCGTACTCCTAAAATTTTAAATGAATGTACCTCCAGGCAAAGCTCGCTTCGTTCGAGGTTGTCCAACAATTCGTACTCCCAATTTGTATAATTCAGTGCCGTACCATCTAGCCAGCGGTAATTGTAGTCTACCGATAGGATCTGAATAAGGATTCAGTTCAAAATACGTTTTCAGCGTACGCTGGATGCTCCAAGCAGGGTGGAGTACTTTTTGTCTTTTGTCATGCTGCCCTTCAGCTCCTCCACGCTCCATTCTGAAGCGAATTAGTTTATAGATTCTGACATGTCGTAGATGTTACCTTGGACTTTCTTGTTCATAGCTTCCGAGTGAATGGAGCCAAGCGAGCCGCCACGTTTTTGGCACTGAGCTTTTGCGTCAGCGTGTGTGACCTTTTGAGGAGCTGAAAAATCTGCCGATGACGATTGGGATAATAATTTACCGTATAGCAATTTCCCCCAGCACCATCCAAGTCCCGGCCGGTCGAGCATCCTGCCTAAAACAATTCAATTAAACTTCCTGCTCCGATAAATACTTATGGCCCGAAGAGCCTGATAGCAAACTTTAAAGGGGTAGCTCAGGTTCTGAAGGTTGGGCTGGTACCTTTGATACATTATCTACACCAGCCGTTAACAAACGGCTGGACTCCGCGCTCCCTCCCCTCGTCGAAACGCGCGCGACCTGGCTCACTATGCCCAAAATCGTGCAAAAGCCGTTTTTACTACCAAATTACAAAAATCTATTTTTAAATATGAAAATGAAGTTTTTGAAGTTAAATGATGCTGTTTGGGGGTTCTGACCGCGCTATACCCGAATCCGAAGAGACCTAAGTTCTAGTTCATTTCCCCTTCGTGTTGAATTCGGGACATGATGGACAGACGCCACAACCTTTTAATTGATAGGGATAGTGCGCCCTTTACATGGCGACTTACCTTTGGCAGAACCGTTGTTTTGACGGTAGTTGGGTCTCTGGGCGGTGCTGGTACGACACTAAGGTTACTTGGGTAGATTATCTGAAAATACTAGGCGATGAGGTGAATGGCTTGATTACTAAAAACGTTTTCCTTGTTACTTGATTTTTTCCTTGATTACTAAAACCTACAGCTGACATTGAAAAGCCAAAACATGCCAGCAACAGCGCCAATAACCTGGCCATTTTGGTTGGCGATTGGTAGGTGAGCTGAGCGGCGGTTGTTTTTATACATCAGACATACAAAAATCAGGATGCAAAGAGATACTCTCAAAGAGCGGTGAACCCTGACCGTTGGTCTTGTTTTATTTGAGGGAGGCGTTGGCTTCAGCAAAATTGATGCCACGAGAATCGTACTGAAAGGTGTTCTTAATTGGGACTAGAAATTCTATTTGAAAATCAGCTTACCTGGTGCAGAATTTTTAGCTGATTCCGAATTTTGTGACACGCCAAGATTTTCAGGCCATCCGGGCGGGTTGACGCCGGTAAAAAACCTTTTCCTGAACTATCAAATGTCGGTTCTGACAATGAGATAGCTAATTTAAAAAGGTAAATTTTTGACCAGGGGGCGGACGATTCTTTTTCCCAAAAGAACTCTACAAGTTTTCTAGAATAATCAGGCCAGTGTTTCAATTAACAACAAAAGGCCAACAAAAGGTTTTCAATTTTGAAATCGGGTTTCTCCGGAAATTTGGAAAACAGATTCGGAATCGGTGAAAACTTCTGCACATGATCAGCTAGGTCGCGAATCAAATTTCCAGCCGATGTAACGTCGCGTTACTGTTAGTGGCGTTTGGAATTAGCAAAATATCGGACCAGCCCATAATTTCTACAGAACTACATCCCGGCCGGCCGAGAGGAAATTTTGACGAAAAACTAGGAATCGCAGCGGCTGGGGCTGGAAACCTACTCGAAACCTGTTTGACGACTTTTGCTGTTTGTGAGATGAGATAGAAACATTGCAAATTCATTTATTCAATCGAATCGAATCGAACAATCGTTTCATTTCATCCATTTGCTTCATTCTGAAAGATTCTCAGAGTCAAGAAAAATCCAAAAACTTTCATCATGCCGTATTTTCGGCATATGGCGTTTTCTTACATTCTGAACGCGTGGAAAACTTGAAACGTACCGGAATCTGGCACAGCCCCATGCAGTAAACCGGGAATTGGCATCCGAGGTCCAGCCATTTTCCGACGTAGTCCCTAGGTCAGGATGTAGCTTTTATCACTCAAATCCACTACTTTCCGCCCTGACCCTCATAGCCGTTCCAGAGTTTCACGTACATCTGGAATGGACAAAAATGTTCATAGTTATCATGGGAAAAATTTCTGTGTTTTGTTCCGGCAGCATTAAGAACCACTCTAACCTGAATGCAAAACTCATCGCCCCAATCAACAGGGTCTCCTGCCTTCCCGTCCGGCTCGCCGACGTCCCAATTCGTGTAGTCCATCGGGCTCCCGTCCATCCAGCGGAAATCGCCACCTTTTTTCTAAAGAGACGTTTTAGTAAAGAGATAGATACATGGTGTCCCAATAAAAAAACCCGCTAACTCACCGTAGAAGCATCGGATCGTAACGATAGTTACACCATTCGAAAGCCTTTGAAATGGCGAGTTTGCAATGTTGATTCAAAACCATGTTTTTATTTCGACTAGCTACATTACAAACCACGAAATTTTTGGCATTTTCGAGGTTGCATACGAGCCAGTTTGCTGCAAGCTTTTCGAGCAAAATTAATGTAAGTATGCAACAGGTGTTCTTTAATGTTTTAGAAATTGTTGTAAAATGGCGCATTTAAAGGTACACTAAAATCTCGTGCAAAAAGTCAGTTCGCGGACGGAAATCCGGGCCCTCTGCCGCGGAAGGCCCGGACCCTTCCTTTCCCCCTTCCCTCTCCCCTATTCCGTCTGTCCCTTGGCCTAGTGGTCTAAAGCGCTCGCCCTAGGCGAATGGCGCGGGTTCGGTTTTGCTCCGCGGCGGCACCTACCGTAACCCTATTGCTATTCCGGGACGGTTACCGGCCGGTAACCCAACCAACGAGGCTTTAGTGTACCTTTAAATAAGAACATGGGCTTCATGGCTGTTGCAGACTCGCCTTTTCAAGAACTTTCGAAGGGAGGTAACTATCACGCCCTGTACAGTTATTTGTTTTTTTATGGTCCGAATTTGAACCACTCACGCTCGATGCGCCGAGCAGCATCTTGCAACTGCCACCGTTGTCTGGGTGGGCCAGGGCTCCGCGCGCTAATTCTGAAATGGTGGATATAGGCTTTCTTGGGGGGTTTTAGCGCCGGAATTAATTTTCAGATGCGATTTTTAAGACTTTAGCAAGTGGAATTTCCGAAATTTCGGGCCTTACCGCGCCCCCATAGTACCTCTGAACTATTTTCTGAATTTTCTAGCGAATTAGGGGTACCTATAATCTTTTGATTCTGGGCAGCCGAATGTACGGATCCGAGCTTGCCGCCAAGTTGCGCGCACTTGTCCGTCACCTCGGCATACGTCATGCTGCCGCCAGGTTTCAAGACGGGCTAAAATTTTGACTAATGGCTTGCAAAATTATTCATTTTGTGATTTTAATTTTTCTACTCGCCTGATAGCAATACTTTCCGCCCTGCTCGATCAGGCTGCCCACCTTGCAGCCCTAAATTTACAGGATTATTAAGTTGACTAATTCAGTGTACAACCTCAGCTTGCGAAATAGTGAGCATGAGCAGCAGTAGGAGGTGTATCTCGACCACCATGTTGTCGACTGGCTGCGGAAACTTTGGATTCCATACAATCGAAAATTCGGACACCACCAGTGAGTCTTCATGCATATTCAATAAGCTTTTTTCTCGAAACATTACTTGCAGATTCTTACCGTAGTAGCCGGCAATACCAAAGGTTGCCTGCTTATCGCCCCAGCCGAAGTTCCTGGGCTAGTAAAAAGGATTCCGCCATAGCGGCCTGGAAAATGTACGATTCTTGATATAAAGGTACGATATAAGTTAAGCCGCCACCCAGAGCTCTCGTAATCGAGCGAAGGATCTTCGCGAGGATTTTTGGAATTCCGCGATGGCTGTTCTTTTTCCAGCTTCTTTTCTCTTTTTCTTGGAAGCATCGACAACTCAAGGTCCCCTAGATTTTTGGCAGCATTCAAATTTCATGCCCTTTGGCCAACGGCGCTATCCGGAAAACAAAAAGTACAGGCGCTGAAAAGCATGCGATGGTCAACAAATTGACGACCATGAGAAGATCAACAGGGGGGGTGCTTATAAAAAGCCGAGCGTGGCACGACAAGCTCAGTCCTATCGCTTCGATACATGTAGTTTTTCTATTTTTTCATTTACTTACTGATCCTTATTTTTTATATGTACCGGATTTCGCTAAACTATCATAAAAATTTTAGCGCAATAAAACCTGCCACCATAATGTCACTTCGCGATAATCGTGTGGACAACTTGAATGAGCCGTTGAGCAAGGGATTGGTGCGTTTTTTTATATTTTGAAATACCACGATTTAAATTTATGGATACGATCGCAAAAAATCTTTGAAAATACAACCTACGACCGCTAATTTTGTCAATTCAGCTCGAGGATCGCGGTGGGGTCCAAATGAAGGATGAGGGCGTGAAAAGATCAAAGGACTTTAGTCAGGGACGAGAAGACAAGGTTTCTATTTTTTTAAATCCTGCGGACTGCCAATTTTATTTTTTTACAGATCATTAACGCTATCTAAAACTATACATCTCAAAATGTTGATATTATAATTTTTTCAGGACCACCATCGAGACCGCGACCCATGTGAGCAAAACCCAAATGCCCGCCTGCCTGAGCATTTGTTTTCGAAATACTAAAGCTATATTTCCTCATCGGTTATGTCGTTTGTAATAAATAAATTAATAAAAATAATTTATCGTAAATTAGGCCTTCGTTTCTTTGCTGGGAGTCGAGCCGGGTGCCTGAAAGCTTCTTTTGAAAATTATGCTCTTTGAAAAACGGCAACGTTTGGAAACTCTATGCAAGATCTTGTACTCGGAGGGTATAAACCTAAATCCTCTATTTTTTTTAATTACCGTGAAGCTTGGCCTATAACCAAACAGGGCCTATTTCCCATCGACCAAAATACAGGTAATATCTGGTAAAATTGATCGATTTCGAACAATTCTATTGGGTTTTTACCAGGAAAGCAACCTAAAAGGCTAATCATAACAGGCCAGCGCATAAGCATACCTCTGAGTTGCATTTTTTAAAATTATCACTGCGATTTTGCCAGATTGTGCGAGGAAGGGGGCTGATAATGGGAGTCTCACCTTTTTGCAAACTCCAACCAGGTCCTTCGCATCACAGTCCAGCGCATGCCAGCGGTGGACTTCTCTATCGTCGGGTTTCGCCGCGTCCGTGGACTCGGTATAGCTCTAAAAATGTCAAAAAACGTTCCTTAAGACCAAAATGCATGGCCGTACCCCAACGCAATTGGTCGTCTGATTCCAGGAGGTCGTCGGGTTCCAGAACTCGACGTCCCACGGGGTGCCGTCGGACCAGGTCCACGGCCCCATGGCTACCTGAAATTAGGTGATGTGATTTGGCACGATCTCTTGGTTATTCCATGAAAACGAATAATGGCTTCTGACTAAATGAGCTATCCAGAATTCTCCTGCTACTTCTTATGTAGAAATTGTAATTCCTCATTTACCTTTTTCGCGCCGAGCCACACCTTCTTGTATCCACCCTCCTGAGCCGTACCTGAAACAGATGATCGAGGGGTTCAAAAGCATCTACTTACGGAGCACAGCCTCATTCTCCAAAAACGACGTCACCGAGGCGAGATTGGCATCCTGCGACAGACAATATTCTTGAGCAGCACCGCTGTTTGACCTGCCGTTGGCCGTCTGAAAATAGAGTCGAATGTAAAGGTACGGCACTACCTTGATATATTGTTATTGTGGTACCGAACACCTTTCTCTCTCCCTCCCTCTCTCTCTCTCGCTCTCTCTCGCTCTCTCTCTCTCTCTCTCTATATGTCTCTATCTCTCTTTCTTTCTCGCTCCTCGCTTGCTCGTCTCTCTCTCTCTTTCTCTCTCTCTCTCTCTCTCTCTCTCTCTCTCTCTCTCTCTCTCTCTCTCTCTCTCTCTCTCTCCGAGTCGTGGTACCCTATATAAAAAATGGCACAAACCTTATAGCAGAATCCAGTCAGCGGGCAGCCCGACCAGCCGACTTCACACGCGGGCTTGGTGAAAGTGGGCGCCTCCTAGTAAAGATTATTATCAAGGCTTTTTATGGACGGTACCTGGCCAATTGCGCGCTTGCAAAGGCCCTTCTTTAGCTCGTGGCAGACGCTCATTTGCAGCTTTCCGCTTGGCTGAAAACTCGTGTATTCATAGCTTAAACGTGCGGACGGGCTTTCCCAATTGTACCTAGGTTTTAATAAAACTCCAGCCATAACCCCAACAGACAAAATCACGACTGTGAAAATCCCGTCAAGACAAAATTTCCGCATTTTTTGACGCTTGTTCAAATGCCGCTCCCCTTTTAAACAGCTATTTTGGTTGTCGCGATTTTTGCTTGTCGGGCTTTTCGCTGTCGGGCTTTTCCGTTTTTCTGTCGTTGAAGCCCGCGTTGTCTGTGGTTTTGAAGTTTTTGCGCGCCTGTTTTAGGCTCAACGGTTTTCTTCTTTTCTTTCTCTTTCAAATTTTGTCTTCATTTCACGTTTTCAACAAAATTCTACTTGAAGTAGCTGGAGAAATTTAAGCAAAAATTTTGCCCTTTTTATTTGTTCGCTGAGTAAGCCAGATGCGAATACAAATAGGAAAAATTGAGAGAACATACCAACATGGTTCCGCAATACTTTTCACTCTGGTAGTCGGGCGCCGGGTCCCAGTTCCCGAACTTGGCCTCACTCCCGTCCATCCAGTGGTTCACCCGGGGCCCGGCCTTGCGAGAGTACTGAAAAAAGCTCTGGATATCCAACCAAATTCTAACGATTATTAAAACTAGCAGAAATCCGCTGCTGAAACTAGCAGATATTCTCCCAATTCTAGTCAAATACTCCTCGAGCGTAACCTACCGCCAGGGCTCCGACCCACACCATCATACCCTCGTTCTCGTTCGTGATCAGGTCTTAATAGGCGCTGTTAGCAACGAAATTTTGTCGTAACAACCAACCAAGCAATGCCTGATTCTCCTCATCACTCAATACAGAAGTCAAATGACCGCCCAGTTGGGCACACTTGAACTCCGAGTCCCAGAAGGTTGTCCCGTCCATGATCTAAAGTTATGAAGTGAAGACCAAAGCTCCAAGTCATCGACAAACCTTGTAGCAGCTCTTTGAACCCCTCTTCAGTAACCACCCCTCTTCACATTCCTTAAAAAAACTATAGGCCAGGTCTCCAGAATCAACCAACATCAGCAGCAAAAACCATGGCCGCTACGCCCAAAAATATGAGCCGCCTGAACATTTTGAGAGTCCTGTAACCGGGCGCCACCGATACCTAGGCGACCCTGCTATTTGTACCGCATCTACTGGTACTGCATATTCATTTAGGCTGCTAGGTCATATTCAAGATCTTCGGTTTTTGGTCAAAATCTGCGAACCTTATGCAGTTGGATATGCACCTATCGGTTCATCGACTCCCATGAAAGTCTGATGAAAGTTTTTCTTTGCCACCGCGAAAACTGCAAGGTGATATGTATCTGTCAGCATTCAAGTCTCGTGAATTTGCGGAATAGCCACAGAGCTGACAAGGCAATTGCATATCGTAAGCTTCCGTTTGCCATACCAACAAGGTAATTTGAGCTAGTCCTTTTCGGAGCAGAGAAACCTGGAAGAGCTCTGATTTTTACAAAGAGCATTTTCGTTTTTGGGGCGACGGGTTGGGGGGGAAGGGGGGGGGATTCCCCCCCCAAAAAAAAAGGGTTTAAATTTTTTCCCCCCCCCCCCGGGGGAGGGGGAACAAAATTTTTTTTTGTTTTTGGTTTTTTTTTTGGGGTGGGGGGCGGTCAGGGGGGGGGGGGGAAAAAAAAAAAAGAGTATTTAATTTGAACCTACAATAATGTAAAATAAAAAAGTTATAGCCAAAAACTTCCGGCTGGGGGGGGGTAAAGTAAAGTGTAGCCCGAAAAATTGGTGCCTGACTTTTGGTGCGGTCAGTACCACAGAGCAAAGTATCGTCTCGGTACTCTACATTGAATTCCTTGCAGAAAGTCCTGCCCGAGTGATGGGACCAATTCGGCGTTTGCAACCTGCATGCCAGGCGCCCCCCGTTTTCCCAAGTATGAAATAAAAAAGTATAAGTAAGCACTAAAATCAAAGAGTTTTATTGACTCCAAAAACCTTCCTTTTAAGCCGTTACTCCACCGATCGGGTCCTAAAAGCCATTTAGAGATTAGCTGATACCTGGTACCTTCTTGCAAACCCCAACCGCATCCTTTTTCCCACAGTCTGCCGCCGACCAACGGTGCCCACTATCCAGATGGTCGAAGTGGAGGCTGTAGAGCTAAAAAAAACGATTGAATAGGAAAGATAATAATGGGAATACCGAGAATCCAATATGAATTTTTTCCTCACCACTAAACAATTTTTATCGTTGCCAGAAGTCGATGGGCCGTCGGCTGACCAATATGCCCCATCGAACTTGTTCCCGTCGAGCCAAGCAAATCTTCCGTTGGAACCCTAAATATGAAAATTCGAAACTTTATCTTCGGACTGACTGTAAGTTACCGATTGATATATTGTTATTAAAATGTAAGTTTTACCCTCTTCGCTCCCAGCCAGACGCTGTTGAACCCGTTGGACTCGGCTAGTTCTGGAAGGTAGTAATTTTTTGCGTACAGCCAGTCCCAATTAAGATCGTTGAAATACCAGGCACGCATGAACATTCTGACGGCAGCTAAAACTGAACTAGTCCGAAGATACTTACCAATGATAAATTCCTTCTCGAGGTAGGAGGTCACCGATGAGCCTTTGCCATTCCAGTTCAAGCACGTTTCTTGGAAGCCCATGCTGTTGGTCTTGTTACCCGTTAGCTAAAACGGCATTAAAATAGAATATGGAAGGGGATAGAGGATTTTTATACGCAAAAAGTTTCGAGCGAAATCTATCGTACACCACTCCATAATTCGGGGTTTTTTCTTTAAAAAGCTTACCTTATAACATTTCCCGGTATGTCTGGACCCCGTCCATCCGTCCTCACAGTTTGGCTCTTTCAGGTGTGGCGTCTTCGTTCCGAAGGGACGTTTACAGATGCCGTGCATCAGCCGGGCCTGGCACCATTGGTGCAGCATTATGCCATTGGGCTGGAAAAATAAAGCCAGTCTGCGACATAAGGTACCCCCTACACTCAATAACGTGCAAAAGAAGCCGGGAATTTCCCACGGATCGCCCCAGGTTGAATACGCCTGCTCCTCACCATTCATCCAATAGTTCTTCGGGGCGTCGTGGTCTTTGGACATCTCAAAAAATGATTGATTGCCAGTTAAGGTATACTTAGACCCAAATAATAGATCGTCAAAAATCAAAATAGCGTGAAAAAGCTTTCCGTTGCTATCTAAAGCTATTTTCAGTAGTGCCCCCCTAAAAAACCCGCTATAACCTAAGAAATCCGTATAAAAAGCTATAATATACTGCAAATAAAATCAGATAGGTAATTATGATATACCTAATGGAAAAATTAATCAAAAACCCGGGCTTCTGCTGTGCAATAAACAAGATATAGTAGGAAATACAAAAAGAGGTCTTCAAGACCGACATTGTCTTAAAAGTAACGCACTGTGTGCTACGTAAGTATACTAGCTATTACACGTACGTAAGTATACTACAAGCTATCTTACATAGGTATGCTAGCCACGAACACCTATGCTCCGGAAGATATCCTTGAGGATTACTGCTAGCCTACGTTTCGATACCATAGAAACGTCTTACAATATGCGTAGATCCCTACCTTCATGCTCCCAATCCATATCGATTGTTTTGGAATCTTCTCCGCGATAATCCCTAAACATCTTGAAACTTTTGGTCTGTTATTTCCCACCAACTAGCGCTTGCTTCTCCTCGTCATGCAAAACTGTAGTGACCTCTGCGCCATGGTCAGCGCATTCCCTCGCTGCCGTCCGGAAATTGTCCTTTTTTTCGGTGACCTAAACATAGACATCTTTTCAGTACAGATTTTACAACCTTGTAGCAATTCTTCGTGATCAGCGACTGTTTCCAGCCTGGCTCGCAGTTCTAAAGTAGTGCAAGATGTTTTTCTTTGATTTCATAAGATATTAATGACTGCAAATTACTTACCTCGGCCACAACCGCTATTACAAGAATTAAGAAGCCCAACAATTTTAGCATCTCTGCGAAAGGGTTTTGCTTTTTGGTCTTTTCCCAGTTTTCGTTTCGACGCACCCGATTTTTTTTACTGTTGCATGAATAAAATATTTTATGAGGGGAAAGTTCTGGGGTGGCCAGACAAACTTATTCAAAAGGCGCTGTTGTTTTGGGATTCAAGATTTGAAAGGTCGAATTTGAAATCTAGAGCCTGATCTTTGGACTTTTCCCGATTCAAAGCCGTGATTTCGAAACATTTTCGTCCTTTTTCGACGGATTAAATTGACGAACTGAAATGACGAAATGGCCTTTCAGACAAAACGCTAAAAAAATTAGCAAAACTCTATCCGAGTTAAAACCTTTTAACTCGGATCGGTGCTAATTCATAGGAGCTGCTCCTCAATTCGAAGGTATTTCGTATTAGAATTTGCCATAATTTAATTTATTCCATAAAAATTTGTTGTTATTATTATTTCGTGGGCGCATTCAGGCTTTCGGCTTTCCGGGCTAAAACTCGTTCAAATTTACACAGGAAATCGAAACTGACCTTCTTGCAAACGCCCATCGCGGTGCCGCCGCAATCGTGCTCGGCCCAACGGTGCAGGATCGTCGCATCGTTGTCCACCTTGCCGAACAGCTGAATAAGATGTTTCAGGGGCAAATTAGCAGATATTCTTTGGAGGTTTCACAATCAATTTAAAAAGCCTCTTACCACCAGACAATTCTTATCGGTTCCAGAGGTTGATGGGCCGGTTACCGACCAGTAGGCATTATCCCATTTCGACTGATCGATCCATTCAAATTTGCCGTTAGTTCCCTAAAATGGTAGTATTGTCTTTTAGGTTCCTTTAATTCGTTCTATCTGGGAGATACTAACCCGTCTGGCTCCCAGCCACACAGCCGTGGTATTGGCTTGCTTGGCCAGGTCTGAATTAAAAATAGATGCTGTAAAAAAATTATGAATCAAATATCTCTAGGTTTCTCTCTCTCTCTCTCTCTCTCTCTCTCTCTCTCCCTCTCCTCTCCCTCTCTCTCTCTCGCTAGCCACTCGGCTCTCCCGCTCGAAGAACGGCCCGCGGCCCGAGGAACCTCTCCTCCTCTCTCTCCTCTCTCTCTCTCTCTCTCTCTCTCCCCCTCTATCTCGTTCTCTCTCTCACTCTCGTTCTCTCCCTCTCTCTGACTCTCTTTCCCGCACCCAGAATAAACTCCTTCTCAAGGAACGACAGCACCGAAGCTGGCTGAGCATCAGCAGCGAAGCACTCTTCCTGTGCATCGCCACTCTTCGTGATTTTGCCGGTCAACTAGAAAACTGTATCCAAGTACAGAAAGCTACTTCTCACTTTATAGCAACTTCCGGTAAACTTTGAGCCCTTCCACCCCTCATCGCAGACCGGTTTCACCAGTGGGACCGGCGCATGTCCGATCGGTCGCTTGCAAATCCCTTTGAGTTGAGCGCCGCAAAGGCTTTGCTGCATGACACCGTCCTTCTGAATTGTGTCGCTGTATCTCTCTCCAGCTTTCTCGCTCTCTCTTTCCTCTCTCTCTCTCTCTCCTCTCTCTCGCTCTCTCTCTCTCTCCCTCTCTCTCTCTTTTTCTCACTCCCCTCCCGCACAATCAGCTTTACTCTAAACTTTCAAAGACCCTACATACATTTTTCTGAACGCAGAATCTCTCCATGTCGTATTTGGGCGGGATGCCCTTCCAGAGACCCATATTCGGATCCACCGGTGTCCCATCCATCCAATAGATCTGCGTGTTATCTCCCCTGGTCATCTGGAAAATTTGAGGTGAGGGTCCTTACGCCTAAACGCGTTTCGTCTGAAACCCGAATTCCAATAAATTGAGCCTTAGAGTTGAATTTTTGACCAAGCCACCACGTTTTGCAAAATCTCTGTATTTATTTTACGAATTTTTCACATCCAATTCAAGAAATTGAAATTGCAGATCAACTGTTCTAAGGCTTTGAATTGAGAATTTGCAGAGTTCCGTTTGCAAAAATAATAAATCCATCGCAAAACCGAAACCATTTGTGCCACAAATCCGGCTAGGGGATGGTCAAAAATTTAGGCAAAATGGGTGTAAACGAAGCGGCATTTGGGCGAAACGGGTTTAGGCAAAGTGACCGGAGTTCGAAAAATTGAGCCGATAGACATTTGCCATCAAGACAAAGTCCGAGGAATCCGCTTGATACGCTTTTTCAGTGCCTTTTTCCTATTTTCTCTATTCCCTTTATTCTCTATTCGCTTTCAAAGTTTTGCGCAGAGTGTAGTGCCCAATAAAAAATTGGCCTTACCAAAATTCCGCCAACCCAAGCGTCGTAGTTTGGAATGTTCTTCTGCATTAGACCTAAATCGTATGGGTGTCGGTCCGATATTAAAAGATGCGGAATTTTTAGGGACTCTCCTTACCATAAATCGCCTGGTTCTCCTCGTCGGTCAGAATTGACGTCAAATGTGCTCCTTCTTCCACGCATTTCCCCTCGGCAGCCCAGAAGGTCGTACCGTCAATCATCTAAATATCTACTTACATCAATTCTCTTTATTCGATACCTTGTAGCAACTCTTACTGCCCAACGAGGTCAGCCATCCCTGCTCGCATTTCTGAATTTTTGTTTGATACACTTTTTTCCATTGTACTCAATAACTTGTGAATTTTCTAGATTAACGGTTATTTTTCTGTATTACGTTATAAATGTACGCTATACAAACTTACACCAGCCGCAAAGCTACCCGCAAAAACGGAGAAAAAGATAAGGTGGCCCAACATCTCACCGGAAGCCGCGGCGCCTGCTTTTTGGCCTTCATCTTTATACCCGTCGCCCTCATTAACATGCACGAAATTCCTTTTCCTGGGCCCGACAATTGCGATTTGATTTTTATTGGCCAAACCGAATTTTTATCGTGGAAAATCGAATTTTGGAGCCGAGGTATGCACAGCAGATCAATGGATACTGGTAATAAAACAAAATTCCTTAAACAATCATCAATGATGAAGATGATGCGCAAGATAGTGGATAACATGCAATAAGGAGTTGTGTCGTGCAACAAAAAATCGTCGATAAAAATTGTTTATTGCGAACGAAACTGGCTGTTTACGCGCTCGGCTTCGGGTTTCCGGGCTAAAAAAGGTCATTGGGGAAAGCAAAGTAAAACAAACCTTCTTGCACATTCCCATGTGCTCCGTGTTGCAATCCCCGGGAAATAACGATGCGCGGTAGCCGACGACAGATGGTTGCATACCTGGGATCAAGCGAAAAATGGATGTGCAATTATCCTCAATCCTCACCAGCAGACAGTTCTTTGTGTTGTCCGGTTTCTCAGGTAGATCCGAATTCCAATAGCCCGTCTCCCATTTCGATCCGTCGTTCCAGGTAAAGACACCGTCGGCGCCCTGAAAGAAGGTTCCTGTGGCAGATTCGGAAAATTGTCGCCGAAAGCTTGCTAACCAGGAAACGCAGGCGCTCTCTAACTATAAAAAAACTATAAGAAATTTTGGGATAAAGGCTTGAAGCAAAAGCATGGTGCCCCACATTGGGGAGAACTTGCGCCTCCGGAGGTGCCCGCCCCACGGGGTAGCGGCGTGGAAAGGAGTTCCCCGTTGCTGGGATTCGAACACTATACTGCCGCCCTCGCGTATCGTACATAAGAAAAAACTGATAGAAAATAGAAAAACGTATTTTCCACCGAATTTCGACAATCCTATAAGACCCACCCGCTTCGCACCCAGCCATGTGTCTGTATCCTTCTCAACCGCCTTGGCTTTTTCTGTAAACTTGCTTTGTGGCTAGGATTTGGAATTGCAGCGTTTAACCAGCTTTTTGCTTACCTAGAATAAACTCTTTCTCCAGGAATGAATTAGCGGACGCGAGTGTAGCGTTTAATCCAAGGCAGTACTCATTAGCGGCGCCACTCTTTGACGCGGGGGTCAACTAAAAATCGAAAACTATTTGTGAAACCGAGTCGGACGATTCAAACGAACCACTACAGGGCAGGCCGCTTTTTAGAATACCTTATAGCAACTTCCGCTCCACTTCGATCCCTCCCACCCTTCGTCGCACAGCGGTGTCTCCAATTTTGGCGCCACCTGGCCGATAGGACGCTTGCAGATACCCTTGTACAATGCGTCACAAAATCCCTGTTCGAGGCTGCCATTGCTCTGAAAAACAGGAAACTGCAGCTAGTTCTCCTGCAGGGCTAGCGCGGTTCTCGCACTTGCTCAAACGTACGCAACCCACGTTTTTGCGGATGCAATGTTCCCATTTAGTAATGTCGGGCTGACCGGCCTTTTTCCAAATGACACTGTTCATGTCAATCGGCGTCTCGTCCATCCAGTGAAACTGCGTCTTGGCCTTCGTCATCTGGAATCGGTACACGAATGGTCAGTAGAGACGCATTTGGCTACATTTCCCCCAATCGCCGCGCGATCTGACCACAAGACCGAAATACGTTGTATCTAATTCTACTTCCTGCTAGCGTTTACGACTGCTGGCGCGCTCGAATTCTATTTCCTAGAATGTGTTTTGCCCCCGATTTCTCAAAATTATTGAAAACCATACCAAATATCCGCCGACCCAAATCTCTTTGCCTGGGATCTTCGTGTTGACCATATCTAAATGTGTGCGTCTTTGAACGTTTCCTACGGGCTACCCTTAGCCTAGATGTGAACTTTGGTACTTCTTACCATCGATAAACTGGTTCTCCTCATCGGTGAGGATCGACGTCAAATGCGCACCGTCCAGCGCACATTCCGCCTCCGCGTCCCAAAAGCTTTGCCCGTTGATCATCTGGAATCTGAAAATTTTAACCAGTGATTTTTTTCACCTTGTAGCAACTGCCCGCCACTTTAGAAACCGTCCACCCATCTTCGCAGTCCTGAAAAGTTGTAGGTTTCCGCGACCGAATCACTGTGTAATCTACGACACACATTAGAACACACTGGCTTCAAAATGCCGATAAACGATTCCAAACATTTTTTCGGCGTTTGACACACAGTTTAACATCACACAGCTTACCTCGGCAGTAGCAGCAGCCGCAAAAAGCAGCGCAATCACCAGGCGCACCGACATGGTAGTGGGCGACAGGTCCATTCGGAGCAGCAATCCCCGCGCCTAAATGCTATAGAAAAATTTCCGAGTCAATACAACCTCATGAATCCCTTGAATTTCAAGCTGCCGCGTTGAGGCCGCCGGCTGAACTTTGGTCAGATCCGGGATCCCGAGAGCGATTATTATGGACAGCTAGTTTTTAGAATAGTCGGTGTTCTTCGCAGGGAAATTTATTGTTTTGTCGTAGAAATGGCATATAAAACGGATAAAAATGCGGGGCAGTAGATACTTTTGAACATTCGTATTACCCCAAAATAATTTGGCTCGGATGAACGGCAAATTACGGCGCACGATTTTAAATGACTTACTAAGGCCCTTATCGGTACTCTTTTCAGACGACGATCTGCATCAGTATAAACCAACGTGTTTCTTACATCCTATTTTACTCAAAAGCATTTTCTTGCGCGTGTTTGCAACCTTATATGATTCAGCGATAGTAAACTTTATTTCAAACTCAATGTCAATTTCCTCTCAGGCCTTCGTTGGGCTAGGGCCCTTGTTTCCGGCCTGCAAGAATGCGAATAATATACTTGGTAATTGAGAAAATAAACCTTTTTGCACATTCCCATCATCTCCTTGTTGCAGTCATCATCATAATATCGATGCATGCTGAGTGATTTGACATGGTCCGCAAGGTTGCAGAGCTACAAGGGAGACATACAGGGTGCCCCAAAAAAGCACCCCTCGGGCATTTTGCCGTACTACATTTGATCGTTTCCAAAATTGGACCAGAGGTGTCACATGCCCTAAATAACCATAATTTTGTTATAGCACGATCGTTACAGTGTTTCTCGAGTTATAGCCAAACGCTGTTTTCTATTCGGATTTTTTTGCAGCTTTTCGGCTATTTTTTAGACTTGGCATTTTTTTCTTTATCTCGAAAATTACTCTTGGTGGCAGGATTACTACCAATTACTGAGGGTTGAGGTTGTTTACGGTCTGATACACCACTTGTCCGATTTTGGGGCGGATAGGAAGTGATACGGCCGAATCGGTGAGGTGCTTTTCTGGGAAACCCGCTAGTTTAACCTTCGATATTATTGAAATAAAAATGGATAATTGGAGCATCAGTACTCGGAAAAAAAGAAGTTTTTTCATCGCTAAAGGCTTACCACAAGGCAATTTTTCGTTGTTTCGTTTCGCAACGGTACCCCGAGGGAGCTCCAGTATCCGTTTTCCCATTTTGACCCATCCAACCATTCAAAGTCATTGTTGGCGCCCTCAAACAAAAATCCTTGAAAGATCTCGCTATCAGAAACTTTCAGAAGTGCCGTATTTCATATCAAACGGGTTTCAACCATTATCGCTATTAATATAACACGAAACGAACCCGTTTGGCCCCTAGCCACGTGTCCTCGTTTTTTGCGGCCTTGGCCTTTTCTAAATCCTTGATGTAACAACTTCGTAATTTTCCTGCTTCTTCGAACCTACCAGCCTCCATCTATGTATTTATTGCGTGTAGCCTACCCAGAATGAACTCTTTTTCGAGGAAAGTGAGAGCGGAAGCCAGGTCAGCACCCCATCCCAGGCAAGTCTCCCGGGCAGCGCCACTTTTCGAAACTGGCGTCAACTAAATTGGCAAACTCTCGGATTTGGACAGCTGTGCACGATTTGTAGTCATTAAAACTATGTGTAGCTGGCTGCAAGGTTTTTTTAAAGGGCTAGTCCAGCCAATAGGTAAGAAATTCCGCGAACTAGTCGATTCTGAACATTCTGAATCCGGAAAAATTCTGCTAAGTCCGCAATGGAATTTCCCACCGACGTAAACCTGTCGTAGGTCAGGGCTGTTCAGCCGGCCGGAAGGATCCGGCTGGATCGGTCCGGATCGGGTCCGCAGAGGTACCAGCCCCAGCTCCAGACCGCTCGGAACCAGCCTTTCAATGGGGATCCGATAAAAAAATCATGCCCGAACTAAGATTCTCGGAATTTTTTGTTGATTCGGAATCAACGTTATTCGCAAAATACATAGCCCAGAGGCAGAACTAATTTGCATTAAGAATTAGCACAGCGGCTTTGCAGATACTTACTCGGGCCGCGCGATCCGTTGATCTGGTTGATTCTGAACCAGGAAAAATTCTGACCAGATCCGGAATCCGGAAGTTCCCAGTCCGATCCGTAAATGACCAACCCTGCTTACAGTTCATTCGCTGAATTAATTTACGCTAAACCTTATTCACATGATACAGCCATTAGCTACCTTGTAGCAACTGCCAGTCCACTTCGACCCCTCCCAACCCTCCTCGCAAGTTGGCGTCTCTAGCTTCGGTGCCACCTGGCCGACCGGTCGCTTGCAGATCCCTTTGTACAGCTCATCACAAAATTCTTGCTCCAGGCTCCCATTGCTCTAATAAAGCTATTTGTCATCGGATCGGCTGCTCGCGAAGATTCGGCGCCTCAGAACCAACTCAAACTTACTGTTTTGCGTATGCAGAATCGCCGCTCTTTGATGTCTGGCTTGTTGCCCTTGTTCCAAATGACATTCTCGGGGTCAACAGGTGTACCGTCCATCCAGTGGATCTGTGTCTTCTCCCTCGTCATCTAAAAACACGCTTAATATTTCTTACGTCGTAAATCTTGTTTGCAAAATCGGTGCTCATGCAGTTTGGGAGGGGGGGGACAGTCCAAAATTGGTAGTCAGAGGTTATGAGGTGATCCGCTTAAGCTACTTGGTTTTTCACTTAAGTCTAGTCTTAACGTAGCTTTAACTATGCATAGCTCCGGCTTAATCTTAAGCCTAAGCCCAAGTTAAGCTTATCTTGAGATTTAACTTGACTTACGAGGAAAAAATCAGGTCATTTGGGCTAAGGGAGCCTAGCTTGACCCAACAGGCTAAGCTTCGTTGTAGGAACAAAGCCCAGGCTTAGGCTAGCTTTTCCTTTCCAGCGCTTAGAGTTTAAAAAACGATGTTTGGAGCGTCTTGTAGTCGAAAACCGGACTGCCCCCCTCAAGTGCATTAGCACCGCAAAATTAAATTATACCAATAAGCCGCCAATCCACGCGTTGTGGCCAGGAATTTTCTCGGCCATCATTCCTATAAAGGGACAATGGGGTTCTTCTGAAAGTGACTTCTGGCGCTACTTGCAATGGCAAGGCCGGAGGTATCGCAAGGCGAAGCTGGTTACGCACCCTCGATGAACTGATTTTCTTCATCGTTCATCAGCGACGTCAAATGGGCTCCTTCCAACGCGCATTCCGCCTCGGCATCCCAGAATGTCTGCCCGTTCACCATCTACAAAATCGTGCCCAAGATATTCCAATATTTTCACCTTATAGCAGCTGTTCATCACTTTGTAGGGTGTCCATCCTGCTTCGCAGTCCTAGAATTTTCCGCGTCATTGGTTGGGATTGGTTTTTGAATAAAATTTGTTGAGAACCTGCACAAGGTCGTCGAAGGCAAAAAGGCTACCTCGGCAACTACGATACCCGCGAGAAGCAGGGTGATAGAAAATTGGGTGAACATCCCACCGGAAGCCAGAAATGCTACATGGCTTGCCCGGCGCTTCTTATACGCCTTCAAAAAGTCGGTTATTTCCAATTCAGGGAGCAGCTTTTGAATGCATAACCTGAACTCTGGTTTTTGGTCGCAAAAGCATCGGGTGTTGGGATGCCGATAAGCTGGTAACAATGTCAACTCATGAGGTAGGAAGGTCTTCAGGAAGGTACCACCAGGTGAAGTTCATGATTAGCCTTTTCATCAAGCACTCGGCCTTGTTCATCACCTCCCCTGATTGAGTTTAAACCCACTGGAGCTACCGCCTTGAAAAATTCATGAGACAACCGACGCCCGCGCCTGCCTTGATCAAAGCGCAACAGAAAGATTCTTCTCCGAGGAAAAAGGCCTCATAAAAGTCAAAACATGGGCCGCGACAAAAAGATTTTCAGTGACTGCCGACCCCCACTTTCAATCAGCTATGGTTGGAAAGGGATTCTTCTTACTTTTGGTCTCCGTGGCTACCGTAGCCGCCGAGGTTTGGTTTGGGTTTCAGCACGCGAAGCATTATATGCCTCTTTCTAATGGGAATTTGGTTTCCACACGGGGCCTGGTCCATCTTGTGAAGTATTTTGAGCTGATTCTGAAGCTGTATTCAAATTTGCGAAACGACCAGACCAGAGCTGGTAGCAATTTTTAAGAGCACAAAAGTCACAAAATGGCTTGATTTCGAGGCGATTCCGTCGTTTTCGCAACCAAAGGCTTCTAAACCTCTTTGGTCTCGTCGTTTCGTATTTTTTTAAAACGCTTTGGAATCAGCGCAAATTTTACACAAGTCTGAGTCGGTACCGTACGGAAACCCGATTGTCACAAAGAAACCTAACGTTGTTAGTTGGGCTGTGAACCTGGGTGGACGCTGGGCAAAGGCACTGATCAGTGTTACAAGGTGAGATTCGCGATTGCCTAAAAATCCATGTGGCTTGAAGCGCGTCGACGGCCTCGCCGACTACGACAAGGCGTTCGAAATCTGCAAAGGCCTTGACGCCGGCCTGCCCAACATTCACTCGCAAGCCGAGAATGACGTGATACACTGTTGGTGTCTGCCCATTTACTACACAAAACTGCTCACCGTAAAGTGTTTATTTTCGTTTCTTTTTTCTTTCTTCAAATTTGGCAAAGCGGCTGTCGATACGAGGTAGCGAATTCCTGAGGCTCGGGATTTTTCGAATGACGAATTCGAATTCCCGAAAATCGCGATTTTGACCGATTTGCGGGCCCGTCTTGACACAGAGGCTACGAGGCACTCCGTTTCAGCTACATGATTTTTAAGCACAGGCTTAACTTTACTTTATTAAGCTTACCATTAGCAAAATACTTTTCCACTAGACTTCGACCAAGGCACAAGCCCAGGCTTAGCTTAACTTGGAATCTCCGTAAAAATTCAAATAGGTGCCATTAGGGTTTAGCTTACAGCCAGGCTTAACTTGGCTTGTGCTACCCTTGGGTGTGGCTTCAAAGAAGTTACTCACTC